TTCTCTCAGAGCGGTCTCGAGGCACGGATAGGTTGTTTGGAACGAGCGCGCGCGGCGGCACACTCAAGTCGAAGCGACGTTGAATCACGGCCCCGCGCGCCACTTCGTCGGTATACAAGGCGTCGAAGTAGTCGCCCGTCCGGAGATGCGCCGCGTCGTAGGCCGCGCCGAGCTTGTCCACGATCATCTTCGCCCGGGTGATCAGGCGGCTGTTGACGGTCAGCACGTTGGGGTTGAGCTCTCGGTCGTCCTTCATCTTCGAGAGGACCCACCGCTTCGGAGAACTCAGGCTCATGTGGTACATGGTCTTGTCAACGGGGACCTCGACGACCACGTTTTTCGGCGGATCGAGCAGGAAGTCTTCGCAGGTGGCCACGTCGCCGCATCGCGCCGCGTCGTCGCGGATCCGCGTGGGCCACCGCTTCCGGTGGTCCTCGAAGTAGCGCTGCGACACCCACGGCACGCGCAGCGAGTCGCAGGTGAAGACGCGGCAGGTCTTCGTCGGGAAGGGGTCGCCGGCGTCGTGGGGTGGGATCGTGTCCGGGACGACGAGGGTCCGGTTCAGCAGGATGGCCATGAGGCGCGCGTTCTCCAGCGCGATGCGCTGGTTGTTGAGGCCCTCGGTCTCGTTGTAGGTGAGGTACCGGTTGTTTCCGGGCCCGCGGCGCTCGTTGTGGCTGGTGTGGCTGCCGTGGATGACGTGCCACTTCGCGTGCGCGCACGCTGCGAGGGCGATTAAGAGCGGATGCCACCCCATAAAAAAAAAATACAGGAGCTGGTGGGGAGCACTACATACAATAGAGAGGTCGCTCGCGATCCCGAGGTCTCGCAAATTTCGAGATCTCGAGAGTCCATCTAGTGGGACTGATTGGCTGTGAGGCGACGCGATGGTGTGCCAACGAGGGGCTGCTGCGGGGCGAGTCTCCGGTCGATTTCGACGTGCGCTTCGGCGCCGCGCGCCTGCGGGCCCCGCTCGGGGCGCAGCGCCCGAAGACCCCGTCCGATTCGGTGCGGGGGGCGCCGAGTTCCGGCTGCCCATCGACTGGCTGCCGCGCGCCGAGGGCATGGTGCGCGCGGGGACGACGGACGCGGCCGTGAGCTGCGGTTCGCGGCGGCGCTGGACGTGCGGAACGCTGGGTTGGACGTGTCGGTGGCGCAGCCCACCGCGGCTCCGGTCGCCGCGCCCCGCGTGCCCGTGGACGAGGTGAACCTGGTGCCCAGCAAGATGCTGACGGATTTTTGGAAACGCGGCCGCCCAAGGCGGACGCGGAGACGGCGCCGGCGCTGGGACGCTGAGGCCGGGGCCGAACCGCGCGACGGGCCGGCCAAGCCGGCTCGCATCAACGCGAGGCTCATGGACGAGGTGGACCTGGTGCCCAGCAAGATGCTGACGGATTTTTGGAGGGTCGCGCCGGCGGCACGGGCCAAGCCCGGGGCGCTACGCGCGACGGCCCTCGTCGGTGCCAAGCGCCGGCGGCGGAGCCGAGACCTAGCCGCCCGACGGGTCGGCCAAGCCGACTCGAAGGACTGGCGGAAGGCGCGCCGGCGGCACGGGCCAAGCCCGGGTCGTCGCGCGCGCCGGCCCGCGCCGGCGCCAAGCGCCGGCGCTGGAGCCGAGACCCGAGCCGCCCGACGAGCCGGCCAAGCCGACTCGGAGGGCCGGCCGCGGCGGGAGACGTGCCGGCGGAACGGGCCAAGCCCGGGCCGCCGCGTACGCCGGCCTGCCTGGAGAAATCGCAGCGGGACACGCCGGCCCTGGCAGCCGGCCTCCTGCTGCGGTATGCTCCCCCGTCTGGACCTCGCGGCCTCCGAGTGCGTAGCGTCCCCGATCGAGAGCCAAGCTCCGCGGGCCGCGTCAGGAGCCAAGCTCCGCGCCAGGGACGTCTGGGCCCCTGCAACAGGGACGATCCCGGCCCCTCAAAAGGAGCCTCCCCGAGGCCCGGTGCGGCTTTAGTGGGCCCCCCAGTGCCCGCGCCTGCCCAAGGTAGGCGCGTAGGCGGGGTGTGTCGCCTAATGCGCTAGAGCATATGCAAAACTAACCCTTGACGGAATAAACTTCACAATCTATGATGAATTTTGGGATATTGATGGCTCGGAGCGCACAGCTTATATTGAAGGAGATGCAGACCTTTAAACGAATGGCTCGCATCGTTTATGATATATACGTTGGGCAATTATAATCACTACGGCTCATTTCCTATATGGAGAGAGGTTCAGTTTTGCTTTGGATGATCTTTGGAATAGACATTGCCGACTGTTGAAGGTGCCGAGCACGGATCTCTACTCCGCAGGACGCCGGGCGCTCGGATGCGCCGAATGATGCTATGGTCGTCTTCGCAGCCCCTCAACTCCGCGAATACCCCGAGATGGGCAACGATCTCAGCAGCTGTATGGACCGAATGCGCACGGATGACGCGCCGGTGAAAACGAGACATCTAGGCGATTCGGTAGGGACTCAGACGGGCGGTTACAGGGAGCGAAATGGGGCGCGCTCGACTCCCCCGACCTCTTAAAGCTGTTTTCGAGCCCACGCAGCACCACGGATCACCGAGGGGTCGTCTGGTTCGAAGGGTTGGGCAGCGAGACTCGAAATCGTCGATTTCGTCTGGTCGCGGCTCGGGCGCCGCGGCAGCCCGACACCGCGAAGGTTTTTGGCAGCCCCAGCTCCAGGGACGCGAGGAGGTTACCCCACGCCATCCCCGTGTCGACTCGTTCCATCGCCTCCAGCTGCGTCACGCCCCGGGCCGCCAAGGCCTCCTCACGGGCTGCCCCGCCCCCGCCCCCCGCCCCCGCACGCAGCCTCCATGACGCGCCGCGCGCACCGAATGTCGATCCCACGGCGCGGGGGAGCTTCGCCGGCGGGGGGCGGTGGCGGCCCCTGCCACACGCTGGGTTCCCGAGCCCCGTCCGCGAGTTTCTAAAAATCTCCCTTCGATGTCCAAACACGCTTTGGACGTCCAAAAACGATGGTCCAAACAAGCTTTGGACGACCGCCAAACACGATGATGACGTTCACTTTGGATGTTGAATGTCCAAAACAACATCCAAAACATCATCCAAAAAAACTGAACCTCTCTAATAGAATGCTGCGTACGCCAAACAAGACTAAGTCTTACAAGGCCGAAAACAACCATAGGGCTAGCCGCGGCCATAGAAGTATTTATTTATTATTTGGGGCCGCCGGCTGTAGTATGTCATAGAGGTCCTCCGTCGACCACGCGCGCGCGGGTCGACTGCCGAACTGAAATGTTGGCAAAATTGTTGAATTATGCCCCCCTCCGGGCGCGCGCGCTAATCGTATCGTTTGAGACACTTTTCAGGGTGTGGGGTCGCCGGTTCGGGTTGGGAGTCGTAATTAAATGTTCAACAAAACGCTTACTTGAAGGGAAGCACCCTGGGTTATTCGTTTTCAAATTTTGTTTTCGGCCTTGAAGTCTTAGGTCCACTTGGCCTTTCGTATCTCCCACTAGTCTGAGCTAAAGGAAGCTCACTAACTCGTTACCGGAAACAAATTGTACTGCCGTAAATGCAATTATCGGAAACATATTGTACTGCCGTAAATGCAATTTCGGGCTCGGCTGGTGTGTGTGATTTGAGCTTAGTTTCCGTCCACTTGGCCTTACGTATCTCCCGCTAGCCTGAAGCTAAAGGAAGCAAGGTACATAACTCCTCCCTCGAAGGGAGGCTGAGCTCAATTAATTCAAAGAAGCCTAAAGAGGCCGACGGCGCGTCGCTCGTCATTAGCGATGACTCGCAACGTACCCGTGGGCACCTCAGAGGTCGCTCTGGTCGCGGATTTTGCACGTCGCTCGAAGGGCGTGGCGGGGAATGAGCGCCCCGGCTAGGATGCTAATGCGGAGAATCGGTCTAGTTCGCCATGTCTTCCCACGCGTGGGAAACCGCCATCCGCTCGACAGCTCGCGGCGGCCGAAGCGCGATGCGTCGCCTCACCGAGCCGACGCTCGGTTCCGCCGCGAGAACGCTCGCCTCGCCGCGACGGCCTCGATCTCGGAAAGGCCGGCGCGATCTCCGTCGTCGAAAGCGACGTCCCACAGCTTCATGCGTCGCGCCTTCTCTCCCGGTCGGCGCCGCACGTCCCCGACCGTGACCTCGGCGACGGTGCCGTCGTACGCTTCTCCGTCGTAGAAGAACTTGGTGACGCGGTCGCCTTCGCCCGGCGCCTCCCCCGACCCGAATTTTTTCTTGTTGAAGACGCCGTACGCTTCTTTGTACCATTCCTCGTCTTCGGCGAGCTCCAGGACCGTGTACAGCGGACACGGGGCGTCCCCGGCGTCCACGACCCACTCCGACGACGTCCTTTGGTAGCGCACCTTCGCGATAGCCTTGCGCAGACCATCTTGATCCGTGAACCATTTTCCCGCGAGTTCTTTCGTCCATTGCTTCGTACCAAACGCCAAGAGCTTGTTCGCCGCTTCTTCCGCGACGCGAATCGATTTTCGCGGCACGGTTTGCTCGGCGCATCGGCGCTTTCTTCCCGTTTTTGCGTCGCTTCCGTTCCCGCGGCGCACACGTCCTCGCGTGATGCCGTAGGCTATGCCCAACCCTCCGATGACAGCACCGAGGCCCGCGATACCTCGAGCGAGCTTACGTCCACTCATCTTCGCTCAATAGTAGCGTGTTCAGTGGCGCCGAAGCTCTAGAGGTTACAAGTAGTCATAATACGGATCCCTAGAATTTCCCTAGACTTCTAGATTGACTAGAGAATATCCCTAGCAATCCCAGGGGCTGGTAGCAAGCGCTCGCTCGCGCCGTCAAAAAAGTGATGAAGAGGATTCCGGATGCCGGCGTTGACTCGGACGCAGACCGACCTCGCAAAGTCGAGAGGACGAGCGATTTGGAAAATAAGGTGGTCATCTTGACGCGCGAGCGCGATGCGTTGGCACTAAAAAATCGAATCATGAGGCAGATTCTGGACTTTAGAAACGCAACTGTCGCGAGAGAGACCCAAGTAACATCATATTTGAGGCACGTTGGAGTTCCTACGATGCCATCCGAGCCGTACTTTAGGCTGAAGAACGCTGAGCTCCTCGCAGCTTGCGAGGAAGTTGACACGATGAAGGAAGCGACGCTTTCCGAGACCGACGCGTGCGTACGCGCGCGTTCTTCAAATAACGCTGGTCATAACAGGTATCTACGTTCTCCCGCTATTCACCATGCCATCTCGCTCCTTGGTCCCGAATTTAACTTTGTCGATTACCTCGATGGCGAAAACGCGTTCGTTTGCGGCGACGTTTTTTACGTGTTTGAGCTTAATCGACGTCGGGCGCAGGCTTTTTCAAGACATCGCCGCCAAATTTAGTGAAGACGTGCAGGAGGAAGAAGGAACAGATGAGGACGAAGAAGGAGACACGGAGGAAGAAGGAGAGAGTGAAGAAGAGGAGGAAGAAGCGGAGACCGAAGAAGACGAACAATGATATCAAGCAAGAGTGCCGGTCGACGGCGTGCTCTCTGTAAGTGTGGTCTGGTGGGGCGTTCTTCGAATCACAAAATGCGAAGATTGTTGCTCTCAGCGCGGTACGTTTGGTGGGTATGAGGCTTTCAAGAGGGTGGTCTTCTTGTGTCGTGTAAAGGCGGCTGTGCCGTGTAAGGATGAGTGGAGTGTATGTAAGGTCTGGTGGGGCGTTCTTCGAATCGCAGAATGTGAAGATTGTTGCTCTCAGCGCGGTACGTTTGGTGGGTATGAGGCTCGAGGGTGGTCTTCTTGTGTCGTGTAAAGGCGGCTGTGCCGTGTAAGGATGAGTGGAGCAAAGAGAGGTGGAATTACACGGTGAGAGAAAGGTGGGGCATGAAGCCGGTGTGCATCAGAGAATAGTGATTAACCTAGCGACAGAAAAAACGAACGACGTCGCCTTCTTCCTGCCCATTCCACAATGATTCGAGTGCTGCGATGTCACTTGTGGCGCGACGCGGCACTGCGATTCTTGGCGGCACGAAGGAGCTTCAAACCACGCCATGTCAACGAGGGATTCGTTAACAAATAAGCAAGGAAATTTCCGACAGAAATCATTACTCCGGACCCCGGACGTACGGCTTCTGGCCCTGCTGCGCGCGTGCTCTAGTATCAGAGCCGCCGCATGGCGGTGTCAGCTGGTGGTGATATTGGCGACGGGCTGGCAGCACGTGGGAACAAAAAAGCTTGTGAAAGCTGCGTTGGCAAAATTGCACCTGGAGGTCGCGCACGTGTCTTATTGGGACTACCCGAAGCACGTTAGCATGAATTCCAGAGACGCCGAGCTCTGGTACAAGAGCGAAGCGAATTCTCTGAGTCGCTTGACGCGAAACTCAACCGCGCTGTTCAAGACGCGTTGCCAGAGCACGCAGCGTCCGTCGTTTCAGAGTTGGGCAGTCGGTTCAAGGTCACACACTGTTGCAGATTTGCCAGTATTGCGCACGATTTGCGCCCGGTTTGATGCATGGACGCGACCGACGTCGACCTCGAATACGGCGGCGCCGCGACGCCCGTCGACGCCGCGAAGCCGGAAAACGACTACGCGCACCACTTCGACGCCGACGTCGTCATCCCCGACCGCATCGCCCGGCCCGCCGTCGCCTCGGCCCACTGCTTCCTCGCGCTCGCCCTGGTCAGCTTCTTGCGGGGCTACGACGTCCTGGCGGCCGTCGCGCTCGGCCTCTACGGCACGTCCGTGAACCACTGGCGCAGGCCGCGCGTGACGAGCTGGCGCCACGCCGCGGACCTGCTCGCCGTCGCGGCGACGGCCGCGTACGGGTCCTACCTCGCGACGGCGCGCGCGCGGTCGCCGGCCTGGTGGGCGTCGCTCGCCGCCGTCGCCGCGGCCTTCGCCTACAACGAGACGCGCTACTACCGGGAGGTGCACGACCGCGCGTCGTCGTCGTTCTCGCGGCCGGGCACCGCGGCGCGCGACGCGGCCTACCGCCGCGCGACGTGGACGCACGTCGCTACGGCGGCCCGTCTTCGTCCTCCGCGGCCTCGACGACCCCTGATTAGCAGCCCACGTTCCGCGCGACCTCCCAGGCGCCCCGCGGGGTCCGCCTCCGTTTCGACTCGTAGCGCCGCAGCGATAGTAGCGTACTGTAACCTTAACCTAGTATAGTCATTGAGATAGAGAGAGAGAGACAGAGAGAGACAGACAGCAAGGTCAGTCTATATTCTTTGCATAGCCCCACTAGGGTAATGTTCACCCAGTGTGCCACCTCCTACGCTTAGACCGCCATTAGCCTGTTGAACGGAGGCCCGACGTCCCCGGGCCGAGCGCCGCCCACGCGAGCCTATGGGCCCAGAGACGCCGATGTACCGCCACTGCGTAGCCTCGATAGTTCACCCTCGGACGGCAGGGCAGCCTCATTAGGCTGCCTTCCTGTCCCGGAGTTCACTATCTCGCTAGTCACGGAACACCCCTTGAGGCCTTGATAAATCACAACTAAATACAAACTAAATAAACTAAATATTTAGTCCAAAGTCCAAGGAGCCGCTCGAGGCGTAAAATTGCTGCGGCCCGGCTCGACAGTGTAGCGTTGGCTCTGCATGCATCTTGCTTCAAAACTTAATCGATGCGAGCGGTAAAAAGATTTCCCTAGCGAGTAGAGCTTGAGCCGCACTGTTCAATGCCTACGGCTCCATGTCCATGTGCGGGGTACGGTAACAAGCAACCTGGAAAGTTGACTGACTGCAGGAACGAAAATTGTAAGGGGAATTGTAACCTTAAAGGTGCCAATGGTGGCCTCTGTTCCTCCTGCCTCGGAAAACGGAAGAAGAGGGAAACAGCAACAAACCACACTTCGGAGTCCCGCGTAGAGGATCCCTCCGTCCTCGCTTGTGATGTAAGAGTGACACAGGATTATATAGATGAGTTAAACAGGGTATTGCAAGAACTGACAACCAGAAGGACGCCTCGGAGGGGTTTGGTCGAAATAGACTCGGCAAATGAAATCTACATCCCCTCCTCGGCACTAGCAAAGAAGCCCGTGATGGCCAGAACGGCGGATGATGGTGATGTAAGTTACGACGCTTTTGAGGGCCTCGATCGGGATGTGAAATGCAATCTGATTCGGTGGACCGACGTCGCGGTAGAGGCAGCCTCAAAGGAACTCGGAAAAGAGTATGCCTTCTCCGCATTTTCATTGATTTTTTCATGGAAATCGGAGCAACAAATATATCACATCGACTTACAGATGGGCGCTTATCAGTTTGCTTTGATTCTCACGGAAAGTGAAAGTACGATTTATTCATCCGCAACGATGTCACTCGAGGACGCGTGCATCGACCTCGGTATCGACCATTTCAATGATCCCACTCTAAAAAATTTTTGTTCACTACTTTCTCCTCTCAATAGAATTGATCACTCCAGCAAATCAATTACGGATGGGCTGGTGACACCGGGAACACTTTGCATGATGGAAGGCGGGAAGATTCACGCGAAGCCGAAGAACAAGGGGTTCAGGGCGGTCATCTTCTTTTCCGCGTGCCCGATTGGGCGGCGCGCCTACAACCCAAATGAGCAGTATAACGTGTTTAGTCTGCTGGACGAGATTTATGGTCGTGCTGACAGTCATGAAAAACCCAAGATCAAGATGGAATTCGAAAAGCATCTCCCATACTACAAAGAAAAATACGGTGAGGAGCATCTCCGCCAAGTTCTCTCCCGCCTCCCCGCTAGGAGCCCCCTTTCACAACGAGGCCTCTCCTACTTGCCATAACCCGGGTACGTCTGGGCCGGTGGGAGTGCACCGTTCAGGTGAGTCGACCCAGAGACCGGAATCGAGGCGGAACGAGATCTCGCCTGGGGCGAAGACGGAAATTCGGCGGCGATTTGGTGTTTCCACACTTCAAGAAAAAAAAAAGAAAAAAATCGGCGCCGAAGGCGCCGGGAGGCGGCGCCGGAGGCGCCGAGGGAGCGCCGGAGGCGCCGGGGGCGCGGGGGGACAACAACACGGGTATTAAAACTATGATGGCCACGGGTATTTGTCGAGCATGGCCGCGTCGCTCACCGTGAACGTGCCGCCCAGCTCGCCGAGCTTGCGCTTGAGGCTCGCCCTTGAGCCGCACGTGGAAGCGCGGATTGGACGCGTTCCATTCGTATCTCGACTCGCTCCGTTGACGCTTCAGGTCCTCGAGCGCCTCCTGCTGCTCGTGGGTCCGCGGAGAGTTGGACGCCGCGGCCGCGATGAGCGCGTTCAAACGGTTCGCCTCAGCGCGGCACTTCGAGCACCGGTAGTACCGCGACGCGATGAACTCGTCGCCGCTCATGCCCTTGACGCGACGTATGCTCCACTTCTTCGTCCGCGTGACCGAGTTGGAGTGGTCGTGGCCGTGGTTGACGCATGGCGTGCACTCGAAGCGGTCCTTGAACTCGTCCGTCGGGTCGATGAACGTGATCGGCCGCAGATCGAAGTCGCGCGGCGCGGAGTAGGAGTCGACCTTCGGCGGCAACAACGTCGTCGAATCCCAGTCGCTGATGAGGAAGGACCTCTCGTGGTTCACGTTGTTCATGTCGGCGATGGTCGTCTGGAAGAACGTCCACTGCGACTTCGGGATGCCGTGGATCACGGCGCCGCCGAACTTCTGCACGTCCTGCTCCGACATGTAGTCGACGCTCGTGATCAGATCCTCGTCGACGTCGACGCTGTAGGTGCCCGTGGGCGAGCTCTGCGAGTTCGCCTTGACGATGGGGATGGTCACGAGCAGCGCGAGGCCCGTGAAGACGGTCGACGCCTTGGTCACCTTGGCGGACCCCGAGCCCGCGTCGAGCTCCGTCGCGTCGGACTGGATGCGCGCCAGGATCTTGTGCGTCGCCGGCACGCGGATCTCCGTGGCGTCGCCGTCGTCGTCGGGCGCGTCGAGCTTGAGTAGGACGCCGCCGCCGTCGACGATGACGCGCAGCTCGCATTTGGCGCGCACCGGCGCCTCGACCTGGATCGCGCCGAGGCCGAGCCCCAGCTGTGGCCTCAGCCAGCGCACGATGGGCTGCAACGGCGCCGCGGGCTCCGGAGACGGCGCGCCGAGCGACGGGAACGCGTCCTTCATGTAGTCGTCGAAGGCCGCGGCCGCGCGCCGCAGGTCCGGCAGCAGCCATCTGCTGCTGGAGAGCTCGAGGGGCCGGCCGATGCTCGCCTTGAGCTCGAGGTACATGAGCGTGTGCTTCGGGAACTGCCAATCGAACTCGTCCCCCGCGAGCCACTTGATGTAGTCGGGCCCATGCTGCCAGAATTCCTCGCCCGTCGCGCGGTTCGTCGAGGGCTTGCTGGCCACGGTCTTGCGCAGGAACATCTTCTTCAACGCGACGCCCTCGAAGTTGCCGAAGTCGAAGACGTAGTCCGGCGGCCGGCCGGGGCGCGCGCCCGCGCGCGCGAGCGTCGAGGCGCGGGGCCCCACGCTGAAGTACCTCGCGAGGAGCGTCTGCTCGCCCGAGGCGGGCAGCTCGCGCGTGCTCGCCTTCTCGCGCCAACCTGAACGCTCGTCGATCCACCGCTGCATCTCAGGCGTCGAGGGCACGTTGATGACGGGCGCGGGCCCGAAGAGCATGTCGAAGTCGTGCGCCGTCGGCAGCACGCCGCGCTGGAGGTTCTCGAAGGCGATGTGGAAGATGAAATGCTTCCGCGCGGTGTCGGGCTTGAGGTAGCGACCGCCGCGGCTTCGGCCGCCCGACGAGCGCTCCGACATCGTGTTCACCAGCCCTACGAGTCGGGCGTGCGCCATCGCGATCTCCTCGGGCGTCGGCGCCACGAAGACGGGGGCCGCGGGCGCGGGTGGCGTCGCGTTCGTCGGCGGCGCCGTCGGCGCAGGAGCCGGCGCAGCCATGCTCTAGACCGTCGAAGACGCGCCGCGCGGTGCGATGAACGCCGCCGCGCGACGCCGGGGAGCCGCCGCGCCTGGGAAGACCCCCGCGACGACGGGCCCGCGACTCAGGCGGCTAAAGCGGCGGCTCAAAGCGGCAAGAGCATGCCTCAGTCGTCCCGCAGAGGCGCTGCCCCTCTGCAACAATTTCTTTCATCTGGGCTGCGAAAACGGGGCGGTTTTCAAGTGCTCCGATGGTTTTCTGTGGCTCGGAGCGATTGACACCGATTGACACGGATACGCGGGAACATTAAATAGCTCCCTTATATATTATATGGAAATTCCGCCAAGTATTCCGCCAAGAAACCGTCTTAAAGCGGGTCTGAAAAGTGGTCTGCTAGGCGGAACACGACGACAGCGCAACTGGAGTCCACGTCGAGCCAGAATTGGCGGAATTGGCAGAATACGGTGGGATTTCTCTATAACCCAGCGCCGGGGTCGAGTTTTCTTAATACCGCCGCGCCGCACGCCCCCCTCGGCGAATGTCCCGGGAGGGTGCGCTGGGCGCGTCTCGGCGAGCCGCGACGGATGGTTGCGGGCTGGAGCTCTGCGGACTCGATGGCGACGCGCGGCGAGGTGTCGAAGGTCGCATTTTCTTAATACACGCCGGGACCAAAGAACCGCTCTGCGAATGTCCCCAGGAGGTGTTCCTTTAGCGACTCTTCTGTCTCCGAGACGTGGCGCGCCTCTGGGGACGCCGTGCCGCGGTCTGGGTTCAAGCGGAAGAACCGAAGATTGATGAATGTTCAATCAAACCCTCAGAGATTCTTTCTTCTCTCCGAGCGAGTGCGTAACATCGTCGCCCGCCTGAGGCAGCGCCCCCGCCCGCGGGGCTCGGCCATGGCCGACGCCGACGAGCCGATGCTCGCGGCAGAGGCGAAGGACGACGAGCCGACGCCCGCGGCGGCGGAGGCGAAGGAGACCGAGCCGCCGCCGCCGAAGCGGCGGAAGCGGCGAAACGCGGCAGAGCTGCTCGGCAACGAGTCGGCGCAGGACGCCTGGCGTCGCGGCGCTACCACGTCGCGCAGGGCACGGAGCGGCTCGCCTGCCGCGCCCGCGCCGGCCCCGACGGGGGCCCCGGCGGACGGACCGCGACCTCCAGTGGGTCGAGCAGTACTGGAACGACGCGAAGCGGAAGACGCGCGAGCTCTGCGACTACACCATCACGGGGCTCAAGCGCCAGTTCCCGCTGTCCCTCGCGTCCGTGCCCATCTCGAACCAGCGCAACTACATGCAGCGCTCCTTGGACATCATGCGCGCCCTCCGGGAGATCGGCCGCGACGGCGACTTCGCGAAGATCCCCGCGCTGAAGAAGCAGTACAAGTCGCACCGCCAGACCAGCGGCCTCGCCCCGCAGGCCGCGCCACGCGCGGGCCGCACCGTGACGCGCGCCCGCCGCATCACATATGCCCGAGACGCCGCGAACAACCCCGCGGCCGCGGCCCGCGCGGCCGACTAGGACGCCGACGCACTCGGTGGCGCTACCCATAAATGTTTGTCGTTTCCGACGAGCCGGTGCGTTAGGCCGTCCGGCGGTAAAAAAAGCGGTACAATCGGCGCCGATCGACGACCCCTCTGGCGTCGATTGACGGCAAGGTGCTATAGAGAAATCCCACTGTAGGCGGAATAGGCGGAATTGATGGATGATCTCCCGGGCCACGGAGGAGGCAGAATTGGCGGAATAGGCGGAATAGGCGGAATTGGCAGAATTCGCCGCAGCGATGACGACAGCGAGTCTGGAGTCCACGTCGAGCGGGAAAGAGGTAGCGACTCAGCGGGAACAGCTGCTCGACGCGCAAGTTCAAAAACGACGTGGCGCGGGAGGTCGCGTTGCTCCGCGGCCTCGCGCAGACGACGCGCGCCTTCGTCGGCGACTCGCGTATGTCAGGCGAGGCCCGGACGTATCTTCACCTGCTCGCGTCGCGCTGCCCCGAACCGCTCGTCTTCGGCGCGGGTTCCGATGACCTCGCGGGTCCAACGCGATGGGCAGATTTCGTCGCGCTGTGCAAGCCGCTCAATTCGTCGGTCGCGTACGTGCGCGATAATTATATATCTGCTGCAGCTTGGTCGAACGTCGTCGCGCTCCTCGAACAGAAAGGCAAGAAGGACCAGTGGCTACAGCGCTCGACCCAAGTTATCCTCGGCACGTTCGTGTGGCATATCATCAACCGCGATGGCAACAGCATTGCCGATTTTGAGAGCGCCTCGGCGACGACTCGGCTCGGCCAAAGTGTGGCATCCGCGCGGAATGGGAGCCACGGCGCCGACGTCATCGTGCGGACGTCGCCGCCGGTCAATCCGGGACCCCATTCCAGCGTCGAGGGTTCTCTCAACGGGAATCTCGCCCTCGTTCACGACGTTCACGACTTGTGGATCGCGTCCGAGATGCTCCTCGCCGGCCATACGTGCGCGATGATTCTCCCGGCGGCGAAGATTGTCGGCGAGTACCAGGCGGCGCTCGAGACGGCCTTCCAGACGCCCGTCCCGATCGGCGGGCTTTACAAGGACACATGGCACCCGTGCGTCCCGCTGGTCACAGGACAGTGGGTTCATCTACTTCCGTTCATTCCTAAGAAACATTAATGGAGAGATAGGGAGGGGTCCCTTACTAGATTTTCGCCCACCAGATACGACTGCGGCAGCTGTTGGGAATCAGGGCTGCCTGGCAGAGGATCTGCCTCACTAGGTCCAGGATGACTCTCCGTCTATTACAGTGCGGGACGCAACTATAACAGGGTTAGAAAGTATCAAGGATGGAACCAATACATTTATGGAAACAACATGGCTGAATATGTATGGTGGAACCAATACTTAATATCGCATAAAGCGAGATGGAACCAACACACTCGAATATGCATGATGGAATCAACATCCTCATATGTATGCTGGAAACACTATGGGTGAATATGTATGATGGAACCAATATCGAGAGAGCGACGGAACCGTACCATGTCATGAACTTAGACCCTGGCATATTCACGATTAGCGATTGGTTCCATCATACCACTTCATACCATGCTTGTTTCCATCATACTATATACACCCTTATTGGTTCCAACATAATAATTTCTCTAGTAAATAAATTTCCCTTTTATTAAACGCTCCCGCCGCTAGTAGCGAATAAAGATTGAAGGTGTCCACTTTGAGACGCGCACGTGGAGCCCTGAAATTCATAGACCCAACGAGCTTTAGCAGCAAAAAGAAAAATGAGTGAGATCATTCTCGGTCTCGGAACGCAGCGAACGGAGGACGGACTGAACAGCTGCGACGCATCAGAATACGGCAGCGACGCGTTGGACGCGGACACGGAGGTGGGGGAAGATGTGCTTCAGCAGGCCGCGGCGCCTGATCTGGAGCCTCGGGGCGACCCTGAGAACGACGACGTCGTGCCCGAGAGACGCGGGAAGCGGCGACGCGCGGAGGATGCGCAATATATCTTGCGCAGATCAACCCGCGCCAAGGCACCCGCTTCCATGAAAGAAGGCGCCATCAAACTCTTGGCATTTACCGCAAAACAATGGACGACGGAACTCAAGGGAAAACGGTTCACACCCCCAGAGGGTACGCGCAGCAACATCGCGAAAGTGTGCCGTCAAAGGGCGTCGTCAGAATGGGTCGTGCACGCTGGGCGAGTCCAATGTCCGCTGTACACGGTCCTGGAGCTCGCCGAAGACGAGAGCTGGTACAAGGAGGCGTACGGCATCTTTAACAAAAGAAAGTTTGGCCTGGGGGCGGTGCCGGAGAATGGCGACCGCGTCACCAAGTTCTACCACAAGGGCAAAGCGCACGACGGCAGCGTCACCAAGATATATCGCGCGGACGTGAAGTATCGGCGGGGAGGGCAGACGCGGCGGATGAAGCTGTGGGAGATCAATTTTGACGACGGAGATTGGGCCGAGCTTTCTGAGATCGAGGCCGTCGCAGCGAGACAAGCATACTTGCGGCGGACCCGAATGCCGACTCTCTTCGGGAATTAGTTCCATTTCGATACTTAGTGTCACCCTTCGACACCTAGTGTCACCTGGCCTGCATCAAGTTTGGCATTGCCTCATAGGGGAACAATCTTGTAATAGCAAGAGAACAAGAAACAGCATGTTTGATTGGACGAGTGTGCCTCAAAGGGATCTGGGCTCTCAAAAACCACATTTACTCGAAAATATTCCATCTGTTTCCATTGCGGGTTGAAGTGCTGCGCAAATGTCAATAAGTATGAACACTTCACTGCAGTGCTATTCGGCTTGGATCGACATTCGCACGCGAGTTGGCACAGTCATACATTAAATTGAAATCCGTCCAAATATTACACCTTCCCGTGAATGAACATTATACAGCTGGATGTCAATTGACTTTCCCTGACATTTTGGCAGGACCAAATCTCGACTTGTCAAAGCACGACTCATAGTGAACTTTGTGAAGTCTTCAAATTTCGACTGAATTAGTATGGCGAAAGGGCCCTTTGTAGCTTCTAGCGTACGCGACTTTGGTGGCGGCGTCTCCCTGGGGATTCCGCGTGCGGCGGTCGCGGCGAACGGCGACGCTTCGGAGGCGTCCAAATGAACTCGTTTTTCATTGGTCGTATATCACCATTCAAAGAGATCTTGGGGAAGCCCTAAGAGGCCGACGGCGCGTCCGCTCGAAGGGCGTGGCGGCTTGCAAGCGAATGAGCGCCGGTCCACGCCCATGCTTCTTAAATGGATTTAGGGAGAATCGGTCTAGTTCGCCATGTCTTCCCACGCGCAGGAAACCGCCATCCGCTTGACAGCTCGCGGCGGCCGAAGCGCGATGCGTCGGCTCACCGAGCCGGCGCTCGATTCCGCCGCGAGAACGCTCGCCTCGCCGCGATGGCCTCGATCTCGGAAAGGCCGGCGCGATCTCCGTCGTCGAAAGCGACGTCCCACAGCTTCATGCGTCGCGCCTTCTCTCCCGGTCGGCGCTGCACGTCCCCGACCGTGACCTCGGCGACGGTGCCGTCGTACGCTTCTCCGTCGTAGAAGAACTTGGTGACGCGGTCGCCTTCGCCCGGCGCCTCCCCCGACCCGAATTTCTTCTTGTTGAAGACGCCGTACGCTTCTTTGTACCATTCCTCGTCTTCGGCGAGCTCCAGGACCGTGTACAGCGGACACGGGGCGTCCCCGGCGTCCACGACCCACTCCGACGACGTCCTTTGGTAGCGCACCTTCGCGATAGCCTTGCGCAGACCATCTTGATCCGTGAACCATTTTCCCGCGAGTTCCTTCGTCCATTGCTTCGTACCAAACGCCAAGAGCTTGTTCGCCGCTTCTTCCGCGATGCGAATCGATTTTCGCGGCATGGTTTGCTCGGCGCATCGGCGCTTTCTTCCCGTTTTTGCGTCGCTTCCTTTCGCGCGGCGCACACGTCCTCGCGTGAAGCCGTAGGCCATGCCCAACCCTCCGATGACAACGCCGAGGCCCGCGATACCTCGAGCGAGCTTACGTCCACTCATCTTCGCTCAATAGTAGCGTGTTCAGTGGCGCCGAAGCTAGAGGTTAGACTTCTACAAGACTTAGTAGTCATCTACAATAGAGAGGTTCAGTTTTGCTTTGGATGATCTTTGGAATAGACCACTGGCGTAAAAAATAGTACACCAGGGAGCAGCCCAGCCGCTCGTGAAGCATGAAGCATGAAGCCGCCGTCGTCGCTGCCCCCCCGGCCCGACCATGGCGGGCCCGCTGCTCGTCTGGGAGTCCGGCGCGACGTTGTCCGTGCACGGCTTGACGGCGGCGCATTCGGGCTCCCGTCCCATCCAGTGTCGGTTGGCGGCGGCGACTTCAGGTCGTACACGAGCACGCTGGTTCGGCGCCCCCTGGCATCTCTGGGTTCGGACCCGCGAGGCCGCCGACTTCCGCGTTCGAGGGGGGCGCATGACCGTGCCGCGCTCCATGGAGGCGCGCTGGCTCGAGACTCTCCGCGGCGCCCGAATCGCTCGCCGCCCCGCGGCGGGCTTTCAGGGCAACCGCGTGCACGGCCGAGACCCACGGCGTCAGCCTCTGCGGCGTGGGCTACGCCGAGCCCAAGCAGACCTTCCCCGGCGACATCATCTGCCGTACCTACGCCTTCGCCGAAGACCTGGCGCGCGC